ACCATCCTACCACAGGCCCAGAAGGCAATGAGCTGGAAATCATTCACAGTCAGCGCTGAGATCTTGTTTCGGGTGGCATCACTGGGACCTAACACAGCTGCGCAGGAGAGTTGATCAACTCCTGAATTTCCTAGCACAGGGGTTCTCAACCTTCCTAATACCTCGACTCTTTAATACTGTTCCTCAGGTTGTGGTGATCCCCAACCATAAAGTTATTTTCGTTGCTACTTCATCACTGTCATTTTGCTACTGTTATGAATCGTCGTGTAAATATCTGATAAGCAGGATGTATTTTCATTGTTACAAATTGAACATAATTAAAGCATTGTGATGAATCTCAAAAACAATATGCAATTCTATATTGTGAAATACTTATTTCTAATGACAAATAAATGACATTTTGTCTTGAAGCCTGGTGTAGCATGGGTAACAGTCTTCACGCTGCATACTCGTAGGTGAGCATAACTGCATGTGGGTGGTCCCACCTGGAGACGGATAGAGGAACGGGAGACGGATAGAGGAGCGGCGCCTCGGTTCCTAAGACCATCAGAAATACGTGTTTTCCGATGATTTTGGGTGACCCCTGTGAAAGGGTCATTCACCCCCCAGGTTGAAAACCACTGTCCTAGTGGCATTGTGTTCTTTGGCTGGCAGTGGAGCAGAGGGAGGGAGAGCCACCCATGGCTCCTGTGCCCACCAAAGTGAACTTCAGGTAGAGAAATAAGATGATAAACCTATTAGAAGAAAATGTGTGGCTGCCGTCACCGACCTGCATCGACCTGCAGTGACGGTGTGCCAGGGCTCTGCCCCGCTCAAGGTTCCTGCGTGCAGACAGCAGAGCTGGCGCAGGCACGGTGGGTCTCTTCCCCGACTCATGTCACCATCCCACCCTCCTCCCCTTGTTGCATAACCATCCCCTGGTACAGAGCCCTGATGTAACCAAGTCACCGCAAGCTCCCACCCTCACCATGCAGCTCCCACCTGGGCCTCACCTGTCTGCTACAATCTTTCACAGTCCGCGGGGCCAAGCCCTCGGCCAGCAATGTGAAGAGAAAGAGGAGGAGGAGAAGGAAGAAGCCATTCTGGACTCAGCCATGGGCCAAACCCAGACAAGTCTCCACATGCAGGCATGCCCCCAGAGGAGCGACTTCCGCCCAAAGAGTTGATGGCCTGCTGTCATGAACCCCGCTGCCTCAGTTTCCACGTCTGTACAATGGGGTACAGGACGGCGGTCAGTCCCTGACCTACAATAGGGTTCCATTCTGCAGTTTGTTGGTTCTGACGGAAATCAAGCACCTCTTCTTTTTCGTTTTCATGAGTACTGCTTCTTGTGATCATGATCTTCATAAAGCCCTGACCATCGGAGTGTGGGAACACTGGTAAACTAAACACTGCAACATGGAGCGGAGTGCATGTGACCAACCAATGCCACGGCCATTGAGTCCATCCCAACTCACAGCAGCCCGAGAGCATGGAGTGGAACGGCCTCATAAGGTTTTTGAGGTTGTACATCTTTATAGCAGCAGACAGCCTCATCTTTCTCCTGCGGGGAAGCTGGTGGATTTGAACCGTCAACCTCTCGAGTAAGCCAAAAACCTAAGCCCACTGCCATCAAGTCAATTCTGTCTCTTGGCGATCCTAGACAGGGTTTCTAAGACTGTGAGTTTTCAGGGGAGCAGCCCTCTGTGAAATAAGCCAAGGATGTGCTTACAGTTACAACTGTAATAGTGATCGAAGGGCACTGGGTAGCACAAACATTTGATTTTGACTACTAACCTGAACGATTGGTGGTTCGAACCTGGACATTGGCACAGGAGAAGAAGGACTTGGTGATCTGCTTCCGGAAAGATTACAGACAAGAAACCCAATGGAATGGAAACAGCCCAGTGAACTAACAGGCCACCCAAACACCAGCCTCCACAACCCTGAGACCAGAAGAACTAGATGGTGCCCAGCTACCAACACCAACTAATTAAAAGGGATCACATTAGCAGGTCCTGGATAGAGTGGGGGAGAAAAAATATGGAACAAAACTCAAAATCATAGGAATCCAGGCTTATTGGTGGGACCCCCCCCCTGAGATTATGGCTGTTAGTCAGCCTTCAAGTATGGAACGGAACCCACCTCTGTGTTAGAATAATCAACATTTAAGACCAGAAGGGCACCATTCACCCAAGCAAGAGGATTATGAAAGAAGAACAGGGAACAGGGAGAAAGAGATTAAGTGAAAGTTACATCAAGGGGGTTGCAATAAAGGAGCTGAAATAAAAGGGGTAGGAGTTGAATGTAAGGCTGATGATCTGCTCTGTCAAGTGTCACCTAATTCAACGTATTTATGTTTGTGTGTTTGTTTACTTATCTATCTATCTACCTACCTGCCTAGCTCATTTCACTCATTTATTTAAAGAAAGCCCTATGGAGTTCTTTGCAGTTACACATGGGATCGGGATACACGCAAAGGCAGTGGGTGGGAGATTTATGGCTCGAGTGATAGTGACCAGCGATGACCAATGAAGCCCTGATGGACCGGTGGTTTCAAAGGCTCAGCTGCCAACCAATAAGAACCCACCACCAGACGCCAATTAGGAGGATATGGCAGCCTGATTCCTTCAAGATTTGCAGCCTTGAAGACCTTACTGGGCAATTCGACTCTGCCCTTAGAGGGTGGCCATAAATGTGAGTTGACTCAAAATGGATTTTAATGTTGATCCAACGCATATTGTTGAGTTTGCACGTGCCAGGGATGTATGCAGCACTTGACACACGTTATGTCTTTAACATTCACAACAGAATTGTGTACCATTAAAATCAACTCCGGTCTACAGATAAGGAGAGTGAGGCTCAGAGGGGTAAAGTAACTCACTAGTCCTCTTTACACAGCCAGGCAAAAAGACAATTTCTGCGTCAGTACCACAATGTGACAGCAGGTGGCAGTGAGCACCCACTTTCCAATCCGGGCTGGAGCGCTCGGACTACATTTAACGCCCACCTCGGACGTCCGCCCGGCGGGTCCAGGGCCTCTCTTCCCATCAGGTCCCGGGGACCGCTCGGCCCGGGAGAGCATCTGCAAGGCTCGAGGGCCATCGTCCCGCACCGCTGAGTGCGCGCACCGAGGAGAGAGAAGGACGTGGAGGAAGCGGGGTGTCGTGCGCGTGTTTGGGAACAACGAAGGATGCAACTGTTGCGCTCAGTGTGAGCAGAAACAAGACAAGGGCATACAGGGAGAGGGAGCGCCCCGAGGGGAAGTGGCTGCGTCCCGACCCACGTGGAGGAGGCCCGACGGCGCTGGTGACTCCAGGGTCCCGGGGAACTCGCGGCGGGATCTCTGCGTCCTAGACTGGACCTTGGTATGTCGCGGGGTAGTTTACCAACCCTCGTTGGAGCAAGTCCTGGTCGGGCG